CCTTTGCCAAGATGAGGCCAATGAAAAACAAATAGAGTATCAGAAATTGTAATTTACGTCAATGAACACATCACTGGATTCACCAAATTTTCCATTGCATTGAATTAAAAAGAGCCCATTTTATGGGAAAAAATACTGGTATAGCAAATAGAGCCCAGATCTAATATGGCATGTGAGATGGAGAAAGTCCAGTTCAATGTATCTGTAATAAGTGAATGAATAATAAACAAATGAATAAATGAATGAATGAGCGTCTGAATATGTTTAAGGAAGGTTCTAATGGTGGTCACTAGTTTCTCCATCAACCCTCGTTTACAATTTCATCTTTTATTTATAAATCATTAGCCAGTAATCTGGGGGAGGCAGTGAGGTTCCCAGAATCTCTCATTATAACAATGTCTTTATATTAATAAATTTGGTAATTCTGTGGTGAAATCAGATTCAAAATCGTGGTATAATATACTTATGGGAGAAATTCATTGAAGAATGGGGAGAAAATGCTCTTAGAAGAGCTCCTTCCTCCAGGCCTCACATGTGTTTGCATTCATCTCCACATCCTCTAGATATAATAAACACACTTTTTCCCAAACTAAGATTGCCCCATTCCACGATACATCATATTTGGTCATTAAAGAACAGGAATCAATATTAATGTTGGCCTTTTCTATTACTCTTCAACAAAGTGTTTTCAGCCAAGGATATTAAACTAGTCAACCGCCCTTTCCCCCTGTCAGTGAAACAGCCAGTGTCCTGAACTCACAGCTCATTTGTACCACATTGGCGTGAATATTCAGACTCCATTTGTCTCCAGCTCTTAAAAGCTGGTGTTAGAGTGAATGATGGACATTTTATTTTGAATTAGCAAAGGGGAGGAGGAAAAAACCACCAGATTGTGTGTTCTGCTTAAATCCTACTGGAGTACTATCGTACAGGATAGTGCAAGACATTCACAAGTTCATTTTGTTGAGCATCCTGAAGCAGAGTTTAGAAGCAGGTGAGCCTGTGTCCTATAACTGCACAAATCCTGTTAGAGTTGGAAGCTCAGGTAAGACTTGATAGTTTTGTTTCCAAGCTAAATAGCACAATCATTCTTTTCTCTTTACTGCATACTCACTCATGCTTATGGGAACAGAAGTCTAGGCAAGAGCTCCTGGCGCTATTGTCTGTTTTTCTCCCTGCTATCTGTGCCCCCAGCCACCACCCTGGCTTATGCCCTCTGACACAATCTCTTTCTGTCAATACTCATGTCAGGCAGAAAGGTGTGCTTCCGTGGAGGTGCCTCTTAAGGCCAGGTGCAAATCCCCGGACGGGGAAATTCCATCATTTGTGCAAGGTTACGAAATCTGCACGCGGCGGTGGTAGAATGTTCTCTTACCCTCCTTACCCTGATAAAAGGTTCCCAGAATGCTGGGAAGACCATGGAATCTGTGATACCCATGTCCCCTCAGTCCTTAACCAGACCTGGGCTATGCCCCAGCCCATCATGTATTTTCCCTCTCATACCTCACGACAAGGACCCTGAGGGCAGTCTCCTTGAGGGCGGACTCCCGTGGAAGGGACTGGATTTCAGTCCTTCTCCCATATGAGCTTAGTTCTACAGCCACTGCCAGAGATCCATAGGAAAGAATCTTAGTTTAAGAAAGAGCCCTTCAGATCCTAGTATAGCAAGTTTGGGCACATTCAAACTAAACGAGACTGAGCACTTTGTCAAGGGTGTCCAGGGAGACTTGTTCTGCAAAATTCAAGGAAAGAAGAAGAAGAAAAAAAAATATCCCAAACTTCTCTTTCCACTCCATCTGGAGCTTCAACTGACTCCAAAAATATTGGCCCACAGTGGTGATAAAATCTCTCATTTGTGCTGTTCTAAAATAAGGGCAAAGCCTGCTAGGTGCTTACAACTCAAAGCACTTCTTTTACATGCTCATAGGAAAATGATCTTTCTCTCCAAGCCCTTGAGCTGACTGAAATTAATGAAACACGGTTGGGAGGCACCTATGCTGGCCACTGGCCATCATTCATTGAACACCCCAAACAGGCCATTCATGGATTGCAGAGCTCTTTCCTTTCGCCTTCAAAATGTCTCATTTGATACAAATAGCAATTTGCATAATGTCACTGACACAGGTGTCATTGAGCTTTGGGTAGCTCCGAGAAAACAGGGACCTTTTTCCTGGCTACTCCAAGAATACAAAGAGGAAAGTGTGGAAGTGGGTACTTGAAGAAAGCTGGTATCTCAAAGTTAATTTAAAAACATGGGTGGGAGTGTGTGGAAAGGAAATAGGAGATGTCCAGACCTCTGATAGTCTCTTGCCAATAATCAGACAAACCCCAAAGATCAGGGGTTTCTGAAAGAAAATTAAGGAGAGAGAAGAAAAAAAAATATAAAGCAAGGAGAGAACTTAAAGGAAAAGTAATGACACTTTGTAAAATATAAGAGAAATGAATGAATGCCTTTCCTTCTTTTATTTGCATCACACTAACATGGCAAGTTAGGGAGATTCAGTCCTGGGGGAAATAGGGCCCCATTAGAAATGACATCTGATGGTGGGGCCCAGGGAGGAGAGGCTAGTCGTGGCTGTCAGGAGCCGTGGCCTGGCCCCTCCACTCTCTACCAGCTCCCATTCTGGCCTGACAAGGAAATCCAAAAATACTGCCAAAGCCTACTCTGGGGAACAGCTGGGGTGGGACAATAAGCAGGGAAAATGGACTAAGGAGGGAGTCCAGTGCAAAAAAGGCACATCTCCCACCCCCAGCTGTGGACTTCACTGACCATCTAGACAAGAGGATGCTCCATGGCAACTGAGTGGCTGCCCCCTGACCCTGAAAAGGACCTGCCTCTGTCTCTTTGGTCATGAGGAGTCTACTCCTGGTCAGCTCTGACTGGCTGATAAAGGAAATGGCCCCAAAGGAAGATGCTGTTATATGACAGCCCCTGGGCAGGCAGCTGGGGCATCAAACATGAGTCCGTGGCTGTATTAGCTAGAGGGGAGTGAAGTTGGGTAGGGTGAGCCCCATATGAATGATTTGGGGCACAGCTCCCAAAGAGAGAGTAGAAGATGGAACAAAATAGGTCCAAAGAAATACAGGGAGAAAAGAATAGACATACACATTGGCTAATAATATACATGTTTTCACATGCCCTCATTAGAAGTAGCGTGTAGAGTTCTTCCTCTTGGGAGCACCCTTCTCCTGCTATTTATCAGGAAAAACTTCTCCATACCATTTCTGATGGAAGCTTTAAGCCACTGCACTTCTCCCCTCTGCACTGTCTTCCCTGGAGGGCCTCATCCACTGATGTGGTGCTACTTCCCCTCTGTCGGTTATGCCTGTGAAATCCCTCCCCCTGGTTCTCACCTGACCTTCAGACTTGCAGATCTCTTGTTTTCTAGACACCTGCCTTTGCATGTCCCACAGGCCCTTAAAGTCAGGAGGTCCCCCTCAGCTCCCCAAACCGTATTTTCATGGGAAGGTGACTCATCTAGGGCATGTTCATGTTCTTCACTGTTTCCTACCACTCTGAGGAGAAAGGTATGTCTCTGCCATAAGTCAATGACACCTTTCTTTCACCCCCTCTCCCCAACCTTGGCTTATTTCACCTGTTTTGGGGGGCAGCAAGTGAGGAGAAAGCACCTTTAATAATCATCATTTGGAGACACTCTTACAGCAGAGAAATTGTAGGTTCAGAGGCTACATCTAATCCTCTATCCATTCATTCATTCATTCAGTCAGTCAGTTGTTTAATAAATATTAAATGCCTACTATACACAGACCTCCTCTATGAGAGATGTAAAAGGCACACTCTACATTTTCGGAAATTATATAGTGTCATAGGGAAATGAGAGCTGTACACAAAGGACTATAACACACTCCAGAAGCCCCACGTGCTCTGAGAGTGATATAAGTGCTAAGGAAGTTCAGGAGAGAAGAACAAGAGGGAGCTCCATATGAAATAACTAGAAATCAGCATATGAGAGAAGACATAATGATGGTGGTGTCATGAGCCGAATTGTGTTTCCCCCAAATTCTATGTTGAAGTCCTAACACCCAGAACCTCAGAAAGTAACCATAGTTGGAGATAAGGTCTTCAAACAGGTGAGTAAGTTACAATGAGGTCTTTAGTGTGGGCCTAATCCAGTATGAATGGTGTCCTTACAAGAAGAGGAAATTTGAGCACAGAGAGAAAGACACCAGGTAGGTGTGTGCACGGAGAGATGACCCCTTGAAGACACAGGGAGAAGGTGGCCCTCTGCTCTGCGAGAGAGGCCTCAAGAAATCAACCCTGCCAACACCTTGATTTCAAACTTTCAGCCTCCAGAAGAGTGAGAAATAAATCTCTGTTGTGTAAGCCACCTAGACAGTGGTATTTTGCTATGGCAGCCTGAGCAAACTAGTATGGGGGCAACAGATGTAATCTTGCAACAATAATTGCCCAAGAACTGTGCTAAATTCCTGAAAAACTTTTATTCCTACTGGGGCCAACCCCAGCAAAATTGTGAATGAATGAAATTCCCTTTGGCGTCTCTATCCTCTAGCCTCTGAAATTCTCCTCTTCCTGCTCCTCAGTGGTCCCTCTGCTGGTAGAAGTTCTCCTCCCAGGTGAGAAAGATTTATTGAAAGTGGGGTTACTTATTGCTCCTGAAATCACCAGTATTCACCTTGGGAGACTGACTCATTCTCTCTTCATTGCCTTGGGTCACCAGCATTTTTCACAGGAAGCAAAGACTGCATTATTGATCAGGGAATGTTTTGTTTAAGATATTACAAATGCAGAGGAAAAAAATAATGCAAAAAAATCAGATTACAAAAAAACAGGAAAACGATTTCTTCAAAACTCTATGTAATAGATTCTAACTGATTAACTGGTAAGTATACTATGAGGGCACAGTGGAAAGACTGGTTTCTTACAATGCATCTTTAGGTGCAAGACTTCAGAAAATTGGGCAGAGAGGCTATGTAACTTCCAGAAGCAGAGCCCAAAGAAAAACATAAACTCTACTCACAGGTAAGCAATCAGATGTCTGAGCCTTCTGGTTGATCACCAATCCTCGTGGAATTCGATTGGATGCTCTTGAAAAGTTTCAGTGATACCTGGAATAAAAGGAGGATGGAAGTATGATTAAGTTGAATGAATTTGAGTTAATACAGACTATATATTTTATGATATCATTTCTTCCTTAGGTGCTGCTGTTAGTTAGGACCTTAAAGGGGGAAATAAGGCATGGATAGAAATAGCTATTATGCATTTTCATTCTAAAGAAAATAAGCACAATTATTACGAAGCCAATCTCTCATTTTTTCCAAATCTCGTGGGGTAGAGAAGGGGGAATAGTTAATGCAAACCCACTGGCAGAGACTGTATTTATTTGCAAAGTTTCCCTTTCTCTTCTCCCAATTCCCTCAATATGTTTATTTTAAAATTTGAGAATGAGTAAAGGGGAAATAGAGGAAGAAAATGCTGTAAACGGAAAACTTTTTTTTTTTTTTGGTCTATAGCATCTGTGTATGTTCGTGAACTATCTTGTGAGTGAGACAAAGCAAGAAAGGCTTTAAAGAGAAAAAATAAAGTGAATGGCTAAAAGTCACGAAAAGTGGAGTTTGTCTTCGGATAAGGTTGTTCCTTTTTATTTTCAGATTTAGGGTCTAAGGGCTAGAAAGTTAATGAAACTCTTCCTCCCTGTTTGAAGATCTTTCTTTACCATCAGTGACTTTGCAAATTCAAATAGATGCCCTTGTGAGCCTTCCTCTCTGTATCCCTTTAAATCATAGCTTTTAATGCACCGCCCAACACACAGTTTCTGGCTGACCTGGCTTAGAAGCAGTTGCCAAAGTTCTCCGCAGGCAAAGCTGAGTCTAGACAGGACATGGTGAGGAAGGAAAAGACCCACGATGAAGGAAGACGGGAAGGGAGCTGGACTGTTAGGCGAATGAGCCTGCCTTCCTTCTCCAGACCCCACCGCAGCCAGTGGCAAATGGCCAGGCACTATTTATTGCTCATTTGATTTAACCATCTCCTCAGGCATAGGGAAAAATGGGTTTTATTTGAAAACATTCATTACGGGAGAACCAAGGTGTAATAAAAGAGAAAAAGTAATTTCTCTCCTCAATCAGATTTCTAGTCCTACAAGAGTGCTGATTTTCTTAGAGCCTTTGGGAAACCTCTAGCTAAAGACATTCAGTATCATGAGAAACAGTAACTAGTGTCTTTCTAGATTACACACATGGAAAAACACTACCAGCATATGTTTACAAAAAATAGTTAAAATCCTACTTTAAAATTTCTACCACAATTGTTCTCAGAAGATGCCATTATCCAAATGGATACCAAGGGTTTGGGAGAAAGGGAGGGTCTAAAATGATAACTTATTATAACAGGAAATCATTGCAAAGCTTAAATTAGGGATCCTTTATGAAAATGAATAATTTTATATAGCTAGCTAGAAGAACCAGATTTTAATTAATTTAAAATTTTACCTTACACAGTTAAATTAGGGTTCCTTGATTTCAATATTACTATTTCTATAAAACAATCCTCAAATGACTCTTTTATAATGTATTTTGCTTTCCTTATGGAAATAATAATAGTAACTATTGTTTATTATGTGCTTTTTAGAACTAAGCCTTGTGCTAAGCACATATCTATTTCATTTGATGACTACAATAACCTTGTAGATACATATTCTTGTCTTAGGATAAACTCTGAGAAGTTCATTGTGTTTAAGTCATCGGCCTGAATTCAACCAGCTAGTAGCGAAGCCAGCCTTCGAAGCCAGCACATGTGCCCACATTCGCTTATTCGCTGAGTACTCTGCTCTAGGACGGGGCACACGGTGGTGAGCAGGGACTCTGTTTGCATGGGGCTTGCATTCTGGTGAGGTACAGGCAAAACACGCTTCTGATCACGAGTAAATGCAATAGCCGATTGTGCAGAGATTATGAGGTTATGAGATGGCTGTGGGCTCTGTGACTATGAAGCTCTTCCAGGGTATTCAGTTTATATGGGATGTGGGCTCATATGTCCACTAGTAGGGTACACATTGCTGAAAGATGTGCTGAACCAAGGGTCTTATGAAGAAATGATACCCACATTGCTGCCTTTGCTGGGAAGCATGAGGACAGCAGCGGTGCTGATGGTCTTTCCCTGCCCAGAGAGGACACTACCAGGGGTGCACATTGTCACTTTTGTATCCACAGAGGTTCCCCACTCCCTTTCTCACTTGGGGAACTTGAAGAGAACAGTGTTCTGCGGGTTTCCAAGAGCTCCTTTCTGTCTTGTATGTTAGAGGATAAGGCAGACTATTTCTTAATAACAGACAGAAGAATGAAAAGCTAGAGGACATAATCCTTGGAATGGGAAAAGAATGGCAAGTAGCTATTTCAGTCATAGTTGGCAGGAAGTCACATAATTTGTGGAGATGGAAATTAAAATAAAATACTTAAAAATAGATCTATGGGTTTTAGTCAGAATGAGCCAGTAACAATAAAACATATTAATTGTCTCTGTTTTACATTTACAGTTGATTATGGGAGCTAGGAGTATGTTAGAAGGAAGGAAATATGTGATCTTAGGGAATTTGGGTCATTTAAATAGATACTAACAAGTGAATTGACCATGAACAAGTCATTTAACTACTAACTCCTTTATCTGTAACATGAACCATTTGGAATAGATTTTTAAGAGTCCTTCAACTCAGATGGTTTATGTATAATTCTGTAGTCTTTCAAGAAAAAAATATATTGTGTATGTTTCTGTTTCTGTGAATAACCTTGTCATAGCTGTGAATAAAACAAGTTCAACAAAGTTCCCCCTTTTCAACATCTAACAGGTGCTCAGAGAAGAGTACTGCTTTTTGGGGGCCGCCTACTCCCAGCCTTCTCCATCGATTCTAGGAGACAAGTGTATTTGATAGCTCCAAGAAAAATGATAAGGTATTGCATAATATCTATAACTTATTGAATGCCTACTATGTGCAAGGTGCTTGATATCTGTTCTCATTTAATCTTCATGAGAAAACTCTGAAGCTAGTTGCTTTTTATTATCCTCCTTTGAAATTAAGAAAACAGATTCAGATTCACTGTTACATAGTTAATAAATGACAGAGTTGGAATTGGAACCCAGATTTGTTTTATTCAAAGCTCTTTCCTTGACTAAACACATGGAGTAGTCATAGATGCCAACATTGACATTTTCTTTTACCTTTTTGAGATCTATTTTAAAAAATGTTTTGGAGGAGGATTTTTCGTTTTTGTTTTTGTTTGTTTGTTTTTTAGAGATGGAGTCTGCTTTGTCAACCAGGCAGAGTGCAGTGGCCCAATCATAGCTCACTACAGCCTCAAACTCCTGTGCTCAAGTAATCCTCCTGCCTGCCTCAGCTTCCCAGGTAGTTGGGACTACAGGCATAATCTACTGCACCCAACTGATTTGCTTGTTTGTTTCTTTTCCTCTTC